AACACGCAGTTTTAGTCCATTCTCACGGGAAAAAAAAAAAAAAAAAAGAAAAAAAAAAAGTTTTTCCCCCGTGTAAGATTATGTTTAATCTCAGAAACATTTCACTAATGATGCTCTTAAGTGTACTTGCTGCTTTTCTGGTGGAAGGCTCCCTGTGTCTCACTGCCTGGTAACAAAACCCACCAGCTGAGAAACAAATCCTGCTTATTTTCAGCTCTTTGCAAGGTTGGTCAAATCAGATTTCTCTCTTGTGGTGCACAGACCCAACAAGTCCACCAGCCTCACAGGACTCTGTGGCTGTGTCGTTCTCTGGTCTGGGCAAACGGCACTGCTGGCGTGCTTAAGTGGTCAAGAGGCTTTTCCTTTGCTCTTCGGAAAGCAATTGGGATTGAAGAGGCTTCTTTTGTCCAGGAAAGTCCCAATTCTGTTCCGGGTCACTGAGTTGCTGGTTGCTGTGTTTGGGAGCTGGGGGAAGAGAGGAAAGGGAAGGTTTTCCCACGTGCTGCTGAAATGCTCGTTACAGTCATTAGTAACGGAACAAAGCAATTTGTGAGCCGAGGGAAGGAGAAGTGATTTCCTGGTGGGTAGGAAATGTCCCAAAGGTGGCTGCTCCTGGCCACCACTGCAGGGAGCTGGCGTGGGGATGTGCTGCTGGACTGTCCTGAAGCCTTTTGGCTGTCTTTTGAGCAAATCAAAGACATCTTCAGCTGTGTTTCATTCTTTCCCTCTTTCTCCTGAAAAAGGCTGAATTGCCTTCTGCTCTGTAGTTAAAAGAGCTTGGTCTGGAAACATCTGAGAGCTTGTGGCCCTCACTGGCATTCGCTGCTGAGCGATGCCAGGTTGCAAACCAACAGCTAAGCTTCAATTTGCCTCTGCACTGAAAAAGCAGCCCCAGGTGAAAGGAAAATTTCCTTGTGGAGGGGATGGGGAGATGCTGCCAGCCCCACTCCTGCTTCCCATGGGCAGCTGGTGGGTATCCTGAACACCTGGGCTGGGCAGCTTTCCTCTGCCAGTAACCCTGCTAGGCTTAAAAATTCCTCATTACGACTGGATGTAAAGCCAGCTGGGGAGAGAGGCGAGGGAGGATGCTCTGTGCATTGCCATGCAGGCGTGCTCCCTCCCTCGGTGCCTCTTTGGGAACGCGGGACCCACAGAGCCACCCGTGGGCAGCAGCAAACACAGGCTCAGAGCTGGCCGTGCCAGCTGGGCTTGCTTTAAACAAGCCCCGGTTTTTTACTAGAAATGAGTCAGTTTGGGGTTTGTTTGGATTTGAGGGGGTGGCGGTTGTTTTTAGGGCACTATTTTGATACCATTGACTTGCTACACATTCAAAGCAGTTTTGGAACAAGATGACAACGACCCACTTAAAAGTTAAATGAGGGTCAAGTTATCCTAACTACAGCGAAATCCTAAATAACCGCTTGTAAAACAAAGACAAAAGACAAACACCCTTCCCTACCAGAAAAAACCCCAACCCAAACTGACCCATTTTGTGCTCTATGCTCCGCTGGAGGTCACCTATTTGGCTCTAGGGCACAGCTGGCTTGGCTTCTAGGAGGGACCCTCGGGGCTTTTTGCGGCTGCGGGGCTGGCAGGGGCCGGTGGCCGGCAGAGGGGGCCCGGCTGTTTCGCCAGGGCCACGGAGAGATCGCGATCGTCAAAAGAAATCATAGAAGGACTCTTTAAAAATCATCTAGTCTAACTGCCCTGTAGTGAGCAGGGACATCTCCAGCTAGATCAGGTTTCTCGGAGCCCTATCCAGCCTGACCTTGCAAGTAAGAATAATTTGGAAAAAAAAAAAGATCGTGAAAAGAATATATATTTAAAGCTTTTTTAAAAAAAAACCTTTTCTGTCTCTAATGCTGAGCATGCTGTGAAAAGTTGCCTCTGCAGTTGCTCTGAGCATCTGTGTACTGCTTTGAGTTGACTTGTTTTGCATTATTCATTCAACCAAGGCGATGCGGGGGAGGATGACAACAACTTTGTGTCACTTTGAGTCCTTTGTGGTTTGGGCATTTTTGTGGCTGAGGGAGAGGAGAGCATCCTTGAGGGGGTTGAGGCAGCTGGACTGAGTGTGGGTCAGGCTCGGGAACGCTGTGACAGGCTGGTGACCCCACTCTGGGGCCAAGCGTGGCCTTTGAGTCCCCTCAGCTATTTGGGACGGGGTGGCAGCGGTTGGATGCTGCGGGCGCCGGGCAGGGCCAGGACAGGCTGTCCCCATATGTTGTCTTGCAGAGAAACAGCAGCTTAATACTCGTGTTATTGTCATTCCCTAAGGCAGGCCTGTAATGCTTTGCAGAGAGGCCCCTCGTGCCCTTGTGTTCAGCCTCTTTCTCTGGTGGGATCCTCACAAAGCCTCTGCTGCAGGATGAAATGCAGCAGGTGCAGGAGCACTGCTGTATATGGCATTTGGGACAGCCTGCTGATGAGCTCTGGGAGGTGGGTTGAACGCTAAAACTTCACACTGGTAAACAATTTTTTATCAGTTGTGTGGGCTCCGGCTGCCTTCTCATATATACGGTTTTTTTTAGAGGTTTTTTTTTTGTTTTTTTTTTTTTTTCCCCACCTTGTAATTTTAACAGACTTTTGAAAACTCAGGTGCCAAAGACTCTCGTTAAAAGTGGTATTTGCAGAGCCAAAAGTCTTCAAGCTCTGTGAGAACAGGTCCCTCGAGAGCTCAAGGTGCTGGATGCACCGCGCTGGAGCCTGAGAGCAAATGTTTCCTTAAATCCAGTAAAGAAAGGCTTAAACCAGCCCCAGTGCACAGAGCATGCCTTGCCCAGCAGCTGGTCCTTGCTGAATTGTGGGCTGAGGGTGTGAAGAACTCCAGCTCTGCTGGCTGCTCTTGCACTGCGTATTTCTATGTATGCATTGTGTTTCCATGTGCCTTTTTATTTAGCAGTACCTCTGCAGCCTTAACTCCAAATTCCCTGGCCTCTGGATGATGCATATCCCTGTTTTCATCTTGAATTCACGCTGGGACGGTGTAGTGTGCTTTTGAATGTATGGATATATTACAAAACAGCGTTAAATGTTCAGTGTAGTAATCTGATGTTCCAGCTAATATGTGACAAATATTTCCCAATAATGGCTTGGCAGCAGCAGGAGTGCAGTGGTGCTGCAGCCACAGGACGGCGGATTGCTCCATTTCCCTGCAATTCAAACCATGTGTACTGGGGGAACTGAGCAGTTCAAACCCTCTCCACCTCTGCAGACTCAGCAGCTCCACAGGCTCTCTTGCTTAGATTATTATAAAATTTATTTTTTATTATTACTTTTAAAATATTTGATATTAATATTTTAATATTTACCCTAACTTTATACCCAGGGATCAGCGCTCTCCAGCTTATCCTGGGAGGCTGGTGTGGCACTTTTTGTGATTTCCAGGGACTTGAAATATCTGCCTGATTTTTACTGGTGTAAATGTTGCCTTCAAGTGTCACTCGCTATCAGCCTTTTCCCCGTGTTGTCTCCCCAGGTAATTAGCACAACAGAATTTCCCTAATTGCTGCAGATCAAGGGGGTGAGGGCTCTTCTGGCTTTGTAGTCCTGACAAATGGCAGATGTTTTCCAGGAGGCCAAATGGGATGCACCCAGCTCTGCTAATTCTGCCTCTTTGTTTTGTTCTCTCCATGATAGCAGCTCTGGTATTGCATCTTCAGGATCTGGGCCTGTAGTGCCACATTTCTGTGTCCTTCAGGGTAGTTTAACAGATACTGAAAAATATCAAATATAAGCAAGTATCATTTTTTTTTCTTGAATTAGCTGTTATCTCTGCTTTTCTGAGTTGCTTTGCTTCTACTGACCTTAAATCCTTGAGGTATTCCTTACACTTACCTCAAGATACCCTTTTCTGCTTACTGAAGCCATGAAAACTCAGTATTTTTCTGTAATTTCTATGATACAGAGTGAGACAAAGAGCTTTACAGACTATTCAAGTTTTAAAATGTCTTCTGAATCCCCCTTTGCCTCGGTTTTCCGTACCCTGCCAGTCTCTTCACTTCAGCAGGGTTTGCTTTCTCCATCTGCCTTTGCCCGCGGGAGGCTGGGACATTGGAATTACGGATTAGTGTAAACAGGAATTTTTTTTTTTTTTTGTAAT